CCACTGAGCTAACAAAGAGTAAAAGCACTTCTCATTTAAGAGATGTGTCGATGGAAAATCGTGAACGGGTTCGAATAACAAATTCACTGAACTAACAGAGAATAAAAAAACTTTTCATTTAAGATATATATCGTTAGATATTTTCAATAAAATTAATTTTATATACCAATCTTTCAAACTGCTCAACGAAGTTTCAAATAGATGACTCCTACATCGAAGATGTACAAAGTTTCTGCTATCTGGGAAGCTACATTTCGAACAACGGCGGCAGTCGGCAAGACATACAGCACAGGCTATAGAAAGCGAAGCAAGCGTTTGGAACCCTTAACAAAATCTGGCGTTCATCCAACATCACACAACGCACTAAGATACACCTGTACAATGCAAACGTAAAATCAACTTTACTATATGGTAGTGAGAGTTGGAACCTAACGGCAATCAATCAATCGCTGTCTACGACGCATCCTTCATGTATTCTGGCCAGCAACCATAACCAATAATGATCTCTGGTTTAGAACGAATCAGCCTCTTATAACTGATGAAATAATGATGCGCAAATACAAATGGCTTGGCCATACGTTAAGAAAACCCGCTGATGATATCGCAAGAAATATCTTAGATTTCAACCCTCAAGGCAGTAGAAGACCAGGGCGTCCGCGCAACACTTGGAAACGACAAACTGAAGCCGAATTAAGAAATGCTGGAAAGAGCTGGAGTGAAACAAAACGTCTTGCATTAGATAGAGTTCAATGGAAACTATTTGTTACGGCACTCTGTTCCACCTAGGAATAAAAGGATTAAATATAATATAATATAATCTTTCATAAAACTAATTTTAAGAATTATTACTTCTCCTCTACTAGGGCCATTAGTAGATACTAGGGTCTTGTAGATCAATTTAACACAATTAAAAACCTCTAAATCTCTCTTCTAACGAAGAATTAAAGAGTAGGTGTGTAATTATTTTATGGGTTAAGAAAGCAACTTCCTCATCTATCTGTTGACTATATATTAACTACAAAAATGTTCATTTATTTACTATCAAGTTATTTTTAAAATATTTAAATGTTTTACCAACAATATATAATTAAATGAAATATGAAAAAACATTTAAGTCAAAAGTTAATTGTAATTTGAGAAACTAATTTCAAATATTTTGTTTCAAAAATATTAGAAAAACCTCTAGATTTTCTCGTGTTAGATTGCAAATTAAAAACAGACATTTTCTATGGAGTAAATAAAATTATAGTTGAAAAAAAAAGTTCCATTACAAACATCGTAAATAAATGATTGTGTTATTTTGTTTATATTTACTCTTATCAACAATTTACTATAGCCTTCGTTGCAATATTAGAACTAATACAATTAGCATTTCTATAGATTCACGAGTAAAACGGCGATGACTAAGCTGAAATCGACTGAGACGCAGACTGAACAGCAACAACAAATTTAATAGATAAGTAATTTTAAACTGTGAAAAACCAAACAAACTTTTTTATTTGTAATTGTTAACGCTTATGGTGCAATAATGGATAATGACGGCTACATTTCATAGATAACACTTAGATTTAACCTCTCGACAGGTGCTAAACATAATCCAAACATATGTTTAGCTAATGAAAAGAATCATAAAACTGGGTACTGTTCTCAGGTAGAAAATGTAGTAATTCAGGAAAATTTATTTTCAGGGAATTCTTAGTATTTTCAGAGACAATAGAACAAAGCAGACATATGAGTAATTAAAAGGAGAATCCTCGAAAGCGGAAAAAAACTATTAAAAAGTTTTGCGAATGACCTCAATAAAACGATAAAAATTAAACTCAAATTTATTTACATATAATTTTCATAGAAGATAAGATTATTAATATTTACTGATAAACACATTTTGTAAATGATTATTAAGAATAGTTGAATAGTTGTTATACTAAATAATTAAAAAAAATTTTTTTTTTATTATTAAACGTATGTATATATAAATATTTTTATTTTGTTGTAGAAACAGATTAAAAACAACAACACTAAAAAGTGTTTTTTTAACTTATAGCAACTAGATTAGAACTTATATATTAGCATTAAAATTGATACTCGTAACTCTGTTAAATGTGATTTTTCATAGATGGAATAAAAGCATTTTATCACCTAAGTTTAGCTAAGAAAATCGTTTTGATTCCACATTCCTCGTAATTGTGGGTTGAAGAATGGGTATAAATGGACGCAATTGTCTGGCCAATATTAATGTTGAATATATTACCGAGTGCAATAAAGAATGGGGCATCCAAAAGCTGAAACTAGGTCTGAACAAGTCTGATATTTTCTCATATACAAAGCGAAAAATCAAGTTCTTTTCTATTGTGTGTACTGCTATTGTCAGGAGAACTGTCTATACATCTATAAGAATTGTATTCAACGGAATAAGAAATTTGAATCAAAGAATAAGCCACATTTCCGTAAAAATCTTTATCTTTAATTTGCCTAGACTATGAAGATGGCAGATGCCAGATAAAAATGGTGTTGCAACCTAAGAAAATGTTTTAAGAAAATCAACCTAAGGATAAGATTAGATCGGAAAGTAGATATTCCCATTTTAGACCATGACATTGTATTTATAAAATACCGGTATCTTCTTTATTGCCTACATTTGTGATATCGAATAAACGTTTGGTAAAAGTAGGCAGACCTTACAGTTAATGTATGCCTTTCGAGAAATACTAGATAATAACAGAGTCAAGGAGTGGCATTTTTCTCTTGTTCGTTGAAAAAAAAAACACCTTAGCTGGTTACAAAGACAATTCTCTAAGCATGGTGTAGTTGCACCAATAGGTCCCGGTGTATCATTGTTCCATCTGATAAAAATATTTTAACAATGTTTGATTAAATTAACCATGTAGAAATTGTTATTTATAAAAATGTGCACGTCATGAAAAATAAATAAAAATAAAACTAAAACGATATTAAATAATTATTTCTTAAATAGTTTCTCTTTCCAAGGACGAATACAACAAGTTATAATAATCATATATACAAAATAAATTACCTATATATATATTATATTATAATAATATTGTACTATATTGATATAAAAACTTTAACATTCATAAAATAAAAATCTACTATAAAAACTTAACAAACATGAGGAAAAGATTGAAGAAACGAACCCCTTAATATAGAAAAAAAATTTCCTAAATACATAAAGCATTTTTACCCACTGCAGTAAATTTAGAGCATATTTTTTAAAACAGAAAAATAGACTAATGATTGAAGAGATTGCAAGACTTAGCAGAAAGTTAGAAAAACCCTAATTCTAGCTTAATCATCAGATAATCAGAAATTTTAATTAAGCTGTTTAAGTAGTTTCTGAAATAATAGTGATTAATAAGATGAATACTAAAATAATAGGAGAGATTATATAAAAATATGTTTTTCAAACAAAGCTTACTTAAAAACAAACCCGTTAATATATGTGAACTTTCACTTTTAAGTTAAATAAATAATTTATTTATTTTAAATTTTGAATGATTAATAGAGTTCGTAATCCGTGGTTATAGATAATATGAACGACGCAAATCCATGGTATCACCACAGGACTTTATTTGAGCTCAAGTGGACCTTACATATATCGATACAGGTAAAATACAGGATTCACACAGGTGAAAAAAAAATTCATATACTTCAAAATTGCAGATGCGTTAATAAAACCAACATTAAACCAAAATTCTAAATAAATAGGATTCATTTAAATAATGTATAATAGGGATACTAGCTTACGTCAATAAAATTACCAAAAAAAACGCAGATGGGTTAAATCGTAGATTGAAAACAATGACCTAAAAGATGTAATATGGCATATTTTTTTAAACTGTCACACAACTGATTAATAATACGCCTAAAGATCAGTACCTATCACATTAAATTTAGGTCGTACACGAATTGAACAGACCGTACACGGACAAGTGACAACGCATATGTGAAGTAATTTCTTTAAATCCAATTCGCAATATACTAGTATCCACCACAAGACCCATATTTCTTCGACGCATTTTAATAATACTGGTAGCGTTTTTTCCTATTTAAGAGGAAAAAATCTTACTTTAGGAAACTAAGATAATATTTGATATATAACAGACTATTCAGTATCTACGTATAGATCTTTGGATTCATTATCTTTAAAATATTTAGTTTATTTCATTATATAACGTTAAATTCAATAGAAAAAAGTATCCTAGAACTCTCAAGACTTTTAGTATATTATATTTTGTATGTATATTATATTTTGTACTAAGAACTAGGCCTAACTAAAGTAAACATTTTCAACTTTTTGAATAAATAACAGCATCTCAGCCATTAAAAATGTTTTATTATCACATAGAGATTATAATTCTAGTCCAGTATTCTCAACCTAATCCATATCATATAAAGATTATCACACATACTATAAATAAAAGTCTCATATATTCCTAGACAGACACGATGTTCTGGTAGCTAAGTGGGGCCTATTTTGTTGAGATTGCAAACATATAGGAATGTTTTTCATGAAATATGTAAAAAAAAATATGGTTTTAATCAAAATGGTGAAGGCAGAACTTCGACTCTGTCAAATCGTCGCCGATTTGGTTTTAATAAAAAGAAAATATATAAATCTAGTCAAATAATTTATTAATTTAAAAAAAGGCGGGAATTTCATTTACATCAAATTTTCCATAAATTCCTATTTGGCTCTCTAGACATGTCATTCAAAATTATAGTCAGAAATTTGATCTACATTAATTACCCTAATCAACAATATTTATAATTTATTTATTAATTTAAAAGTAATGTAATATTTAAAGTAAGATTAATTTGCCAAAAAAATTTATATTTGAAAAAGTAATCATTTATGATATATTAAATCATTTATAATATACTAAAATTGTTTATGGTATATTTTTTTCTGGATTGTCAAATTTGATTTCTTGACAAATTACTCCTATTTTAAATCAAAGTAAGAAGTCAAATTCACTTACCGATTCCTCTTCTTTTTCCATGCCACTCGGCATTTGTGGCACTGCTCGATTAATGGCTGAATACTCCGGCAAGTCAGGCAACTCCTCTGCCAAATATATAGGCATCTGTTTGGATGGATCGAGGGCGCGAGCCCTAAATGACAGCTTTGACATGATGGTGGTTTTGTTTTATAGATGAGTACTACTATATATATTATGATTATCCTAATTTAGTTTGTTAAATTGGTACTGAAGTGGTGTTGGCTTTTCGTGAATTTAATGACAAAATTTACTATAGGACTACAGCTGCTGCTGTATATCGATGTATAGAAATTCGTCCGATCTGTTGATTTTAGCCTCTTTGCTAAAAAGGATTTGATGATATTAATATATTTTGTTGCTCTCTTATTACTAATTTTGTGTGGTGTGTTGGAGGTAAATAATGGAAAGCTGATTAATTTGTACAGCCCTAAAGATGTGAGGGCAATGGTTTGAGTGCTGTTCTCTTCTTGTTCGAAAGCACTTCCTTTTATTCGTCTCTGTTTTGTCTGCGTTGACAATGAACTCAGAATGACGGCTGCAATCCTCTTGCTCTTCGTAATAATTATTGCGGTTATTATGATTGTAGCAGCGTGCAACACTCTATAATGTGGGAGTGCTCTGATCGTGCTGCTACTGTTATGTTTACTGTTGCAAGTGCTTTTGTTGGGTCTCAAAGATGTTGAGACAGCCAATGTCACTAACAACAAAATATAGGAAAAGTGTATATTGCAATTATAACACTGCAGTGGTAGCAACAACAAATTTAAGAATCGAATCGGCGACATTTTTTAAGTTGAAATCAAAAAATTTATATATATTATCATAATTATAACTTTCACACATTTCATTTCATCGTCATAATTTTTGTTTACATCAAATTTTCAATTATTATTTGTTTATTTGGAATTTTGTTTTCTTTATCGCACGTTTTGTTTGTCATTTATTTTTCTATTACTCTATGTATCATTTTTTATTTATTCTCATACATATATTCTTTTATAAAAACATATATATATATACATATATATATAATATGGTGCGTTTTTACTTTTGTTTTGCAAGTTACAAGCGAAATTCCTTATGACAGCTGTGGCGCGCTAATTTACAAAAACAACAATAATGCATTTTTAATTTATGTACAAAGTAAACACAAAACAGAATACGAAAATGCAGGCGGGCATTTTAACAAGCAAACCAACAACAAAAATAACGGCATCGGCATATCAAAACTGCATTTTTTTTTATATTTAAGTGAGGCGAATTTACACATAAATTTCATTTACATTTATTTTCAATTATGTATTTTTTTTTATTTTTTTCACTAAATTAAATTCACAACCATTTGTAATATTTAATATTCAATATGAAAAAATTTAACATTTATAATATATATTTTTATTATATCGGGCGTACATAAAACATTTACGGCGAATATGTCAAAACAAAAAGTACACGGCAAATTAAAAACACGACATTGTTAAAGAAAACGAAAAAAAAACGGGCGCGTTGATTTGTTGTATTAATTATATTTATTAAGGCATACGCTTATTTTAATATTTATCTTACATGAATTTATCTCATTTCTTGTACCATCATTTTTTCCACCCGTACTACAATTTTTAATACATAATTTTAACAAATTAAAGTTGGGAGAATTTTTGCGGACCACGCTGTTTAAGCATAACTTTTGCCGTAATGGCGGACAGCGAAACACGAACGACCTCGTCGTCAGTATAGAACGTCGGCGTACTCCGAACAATTCCGAACTCCGAAATTTTCAACAAAATTGGCAACACATTACTAACACAATATGCTATATCGACTTTCTCACTCTAATTTAACGTATTACTGCACATGCAAGAACGAGAGGTCTAGTACATGACTAGATGGATAGATAGCAAAAAAAATTTTTCTTGCAGAAGAAAAAAATTTATTTCAATATTTTACAATTTTTAGCAACTCATTTTGCGCACTTTTAGAGCTAGCATTTAATATATTCTATATGAAAAAACTTTAATCTATTTATAAATCACAAATTGAACGCACTTTTATATAATATTTCGCACTTTTTGCATTAATTTTTGTTAATAATTGTGCAACGACACACGTTTTCACAGGGACACGTTCTTCACTGCTAATGGCGGCACGAAACGACTCAGTCAAATGTTTTTCGGAAATGTTGTGGCGCACAATATGATATGAAAATATTTTAGGGAGATATAATTTATTTCCCGTGATTAGATTTTAAGAACAAAGACATGAAAATGTATGAAATTTTTTGAAAAAATATTTAAAATAATATACCATATATTTTTCATTAGTCTTTTTAAATGTCAGTAAATATTATTTTTCTTATAATAACAATTCAATTTCGAAATAGGCAATGTTCACACATTTGATTTATATTGCAAAATATAAATTGAATGTATAACTTTTTTTAATATTTTTAATGAAAATGATTGATATTAATATTAAATTATGTATTATTTAGATAGTAAAATATTTCTTATAATTTTAATATGCATATTATTACAGAGATGAGATAGTTTAATTATTTAAACATTAAAATATTTATTTCAGAATAGTTGAGTTCACAATTTTATATATTTCTGTTTGAATTTCTACTCTTTGATATAATATATTTATTTATTAATATTAATAATAATATTAATTAATAACATAATAATAAACAAGAATACTAATTAATAATGTTAAATTGTGTATATACTTACTTTTTTATATAAACTTTATTTTTATATAAATAATTAAATATATAATCATTAAATATAATAAAATTTTTTATGTAGCAAAAATTACTTAACAATTTATAATTTTTATATGAAACAATATTCTTTAATTTATTTTTATTCAAAGTTAAAGAAAAATAATTTTTTTTTATATTAAGGGTATTCAGGATGTCTGTGCATCGTTGCATGTGCAAAATTATTTAATTTTACAAAAACATTTCCCTTTCTTATGAATTTGCATTCCAGATCAAACTTTCAACACCAATTACCTCTTGCATATTTGATTTTCGGACTCTATTGTGAATAATACTGCTTTTTTAACTGTTTGCTGGCGAATGCTTAAGCGAAAGTGTCAAGATTGGTTTAATTCGGGGAATAGTTTGATTTTATATATATTTTACATCCAACAATGTCGGACAATGTCAATATATTCTGCTTTTTAATTTTGTTTGACATTGTTAAAATTATGCATATCGAATCTCTGTTATATTTTACAAGTAAATAAATACGTAAAAAAAAATCAGCTGTTCTAAATATTTTCAAGACTAATATTCACAAAGTGTATTCACGATTATTTGAGTTTGCAATGATGCACATTCAACGATACACTGGCATCCTAAATACTCCTATTATTATTATATAATATTATATTAAACTCATACATATTTTTATATGAATTTTGTTCAAAAAATAGCACATTCTTGAATGAATGTCGAATTAAGCATAATAGTCTTAATTTTACATAAATTTGAATTTTAAAGCATATTCACAATAAAAAATTTAACTCTAAACAATGAGTTTCTGGCAGCGAATTATATTGTAAAAGAAACTTCAAAGAAATTAAACAAAGTTTCCGTCTTATAAGTTAATTAATAATAAAATTAAAATAAAAAAATATATTTTTAAAAACTTAAATAATAAAACCCACTTATTATTATTCACAACCTGTGATAAATAAGTTTTGGTTAGTATTTTTCTTTATTCTAATTTTATTTTATATATATAAAATACGTGATATAGTTTTATATATAGTTTTTAAATATAGTTTTTATATATAGTTTTAATAAATATATTGCAATCCCTGAAGAAGCTAAGAACGGATCTGTTGTTTAGTATTTTATTGTGAATTTTTGCGATTGATAATAAAAAACGCAACGATATGTCTTTTTTGGAAGTGCTTTTATTGTTGTGGAATTAGTTGTGCCAACATTAAATTATAACAGTTTTAAAATCTGCTCAAATACAAAGCATGTCGTATGACAAGCGATAAAAGTGACAGATGTTTTCACCTTTAACACGTGACAAAAATGGCTTGAGGTTAAGGATTTAATGTAATTTCTTACTATAAATTTGCATGTGATTTTAGTTATATAAATATGTGTAAATAATATAAGCGAATTTTTTAATAATTGTATTTTATAATTATTTTAGTGCCAAAACCAAAATTGTTTTTTGCTGGTTTAGATATCGCATTTTTATTAATTACAAATGTAAATTTTCATTTGTATATTGAGAAATTTTTATTTTCATATATTATATACATACAGAAATTTAATTTATATATATAAACTTATTAAAAATAGTATAATAATAATACTGTAAATTAATAATAATTAATTATTTAGAGATTTAAAATTGATTTAAAAATAAATCAATTTTGTTTACAGTAAAACTTTTTTATAAATATAATAGAAAAGTAATTTTATTTGTAAATATAAACTAATCAAATTGTTTTAATAATTATTATTCGAATATGAAGGGAATACCTTTTTTCTGCTACTATTTTATTCATTCTTAACGCTTGGCAACCCAATTAATTTGCCAAATTCTGACAGATAAATTCAGTTAAAAGGCATTTGTAAACAATCGCGTTTATATTAGCTTTACAAATTTCGTCAAAATATGTTTTCATTAAGTTCTCAGTCAAAATTTTGGACATTTGCTAGTGAAGAACAGTTACAAGAATTGCGCATAGAAAAGAATGCAAAATTCATAGAGACACATGGCGGAAATTTAAGCGTAAGTAATTTAACAAATCCTTTCAAGTAAATGTTAATAGAAATTTTGCAGTTGAAAGAGCAGACTGGTTATTTCTTAAGTTCAGATGAGGAACATATATTCTTAAAACAATGGGAAATATATTTAAATGATTTCTGTCGGCGTTTTGACCCACCAATGCCAAAATGTGTGGTTGGCACTGCTTTTCATTACTTCAAACGATTCTACCTCTACAACAGTGTCATGGACTATCATCCAAAAGAAATATTGACCACATGTGTTTATTTGGCGTGTAAAGTTGAAGAGTTTAATGTATCGATTGGGCAGTTTGTAGGTAATCTGAAAGGAGATCGGAGTAAAGCTGTCAACATTATACTCTCAAACGAACTATTGCTTATGCAGAAACTTAACTACTACCTAACAATACATAATCCATTTAGGCCACTGGAAGGGTTCCTTATTGATATAAAAGTAAATGATTTTTATTTATTATTATTATTTTATAACTAATTTTATTATTGTGTTCTATAGTCACGTAGTGAAATGGCAAATCCAGAACGTTTGCGTCCACATATTGATGAATTTATTGATCAAACTTTTTTCACTGATGCCTGCCTGCTCTATTCACCATCTCAAATTGCTCTAGCTGCAATTTTGCATGCTGCAAGCAAGGAACAAGAAAACTTGGATAGTTATGTTACGGAAAATTTGTTTCTCTCTTCAAGGGATAAATTACCAATTATTATTGATTCTGTGCGAAGTGAGTTCATTTGTTTTTTGTTATTCACTTATATCTTTTATTTTTCGAGTTTAGTATATTGTACCTGTTTTAATTTTTATGTTTTAAAGATTGAAAGAAAAGACTACTAAAAGTTTGCTTAGTTGGTAACAAATTAAAAACTTATTCAGCTGATTTGGAATAGTACTCCAGTCTGCGGAAGAATAAAAGCTACACTTTACCTTTAGCTACTAAGTTTTACCTTTTATGAAGTAATTCGAGATAATTTCTCTTGTTGGTGACTTCTGTTGCCTGAATTTAACGAGTGGATTAATCTCTTGTTTCATTGTTGTTCTGTGTTTGGGTCGTCATTAATATTCACCATACAGACATGACTTTCAAGTCTAAATTATCAATAATGTTGTCCTGAGTCAATCTTAAATCTTTATCATAAAGTGACTTTTGCACTATAAGTCAAAGATTTCGAGCAAGTTTTGCAAAAATCGGTCTCCATAAAAATTTTTTTAAGCTAGAGTCTCCAAAACCGCAGTTGTTAGAACATTCTCTCTGTATGCTACTTAGTACTCATTAAATACTTTCACAGGCTTAAAGTTACGCTAAATCTGTAAAGAATGGCGAATGCAATCGTCTCTTGCTAGAATTGCAGTGTTATTTACACCAACTTCTTGTCAATAAGTTTTCTTTTCTCATACTTCCAATTTAACTGCTTGCTATGAGATTTTAAATGAAATATCGGAATACTGTATTAAATTAGCTGAGATTTTTTTCTATTTGTTAAAAGTGTATTCCATTTTTATAAATAAGCGAACTTATTTTAGTCCCCCCGTAATGTATTGTTAATCTTGAACGCTAAAATATTTATATTTTTTGCCTTATTTAATTATGTTGATTTTAATATATAATCATTTACTATCTCTTATTATTATTATTATTATTTATTATTATTATTATTATTATTATTATTATTATTATTTATTTATTATTATTATTATTATTTTATATTATTATTATTATTTATATTATTATTATTATTTATATTATTATTGTTATTATTATATTATTTATTATATTATTTATATTATTATTATTATTCTGAAGTAATTCTTATTTATTGATTTACAATATAATTATCCTGAAGTTCAAATTATTCTTAAGTAATATAATTTAAAAATTATATTATTCAATATTTATTTAATGTTTGTAATTTATTTATTTCTTTAAGAAATTCGTTATTTGGTAAAAACCATTGTACAACCAAACAAGGATGCTGTTAAACATATCGAAAGGAAATTAGACGTATGCCGAAATCAGGATAATAATATTGATAGCGAAGCGTAAGTGGAAAATATTACACTTTTTACAAATTTATTAAATGTGATTATATTTATTAGCTACAAAGAACGTATGCGAAGATTGTTTGCCGAAGATGATATGGATTTACCTATACACACTATCTACCATGTTGGTTTGGATTCTAGCGCTGAAATGTCTATGTTAAACACTAGTCAATAAGTTCCAATAAGTTATAATTTAACTATAGTTATAAAATACTTTGTACTATACATCAGTTGTTATTCACATGTTTTGTAAATAATATGAAATACAGAAGAAACTTAAATTTATCGTAAAAATTATTACAAAATTTTTCAAGATATACAATTAATAGATTTTTATTAAGGAATATGTATAAAAATTATAATACAAAATAATTTTCTTACCTGCTTGTTGCATCAATAGA